ATGTTCATGCTCTATGTTCTTTTGAAGCCAAGAGTAACTTCTTGAAGCTTCTATGGTACCCGACAGCATTGCGACATATGGTCACAATTGAGTACATCAACGTTGTGATCGGTTGGATATGTAACCCTTTTTGTTGAATTGATCTTTAAAAAAGAGGCTGTACGGTACATTCTTGTGCCTTACACGTTCCCACAACAGACGCGAGCAGACATCTGAAGTTTGCTTTAGAAGGGAGCACCTTTCTGTTCGATCCGTTGCCTCCTTCTCAGCATTTTCGTAGACTTAGTCAATCAACGTTCTTTATCGAAGTGGAGCTGCTTTAGCATGACATTGCTATAAACTGGGCAGGATTTGATTCTGAAGACTGGTTTTTTCTGTTTCCATGGAAAATTGTTTCTGAATGTGAAGTGAGGTAGAGATCTTTATCATGCGAGGGTCAGTTTTTCAGCCTAAGTGCAATGATTGCGATAGTCTACGTGAGAATATTTAGAAATTTTTTACTGTGCCCTTCTGTTAGTTGCCTTTCAGACCTGGATTACTTGATTTGGAGACTCAATGTTTAAGTGCGTTGTTGAGAGTTCATAGGATCGAATCACTGCCCGGGTCCCAAAATTTGAGGCTTAGCGGACTTCTGTCTGTTGATCTGTCAGGCAAAATGGATGCCCTAGCTTTGGAAAATCATGACAAGTTGTGAGCAAAATTGTGAGCATAATAGTTAACGATGTTCTTATGTTTCCTCGGTAGTAAACGGGAGTGGTGGGCATATATGATAAGAACTGCTGTCAATTGTGGTTCAATATGACTTGCATTATTTCTCAACGAAGGCATTCCCTACGAGAATACAGTTTACTTTGGGTTTTTTGGGACTAGTTGTGCATGCTGCTGTGGACTTTGTCGTCCATGGAAGATGAATTGGCTGTTTCCTCATAGTATTCATACTCTTAGTAGTGTGAGATGCATGCACTCTCTTATGGCAAATGGTTAACTTTTAATTGGACAGTCTAATTCTTACCTTCACCAGGATGCTGCAGACAGGAAAAGAATCTCAGCCTGATGAACAGTCGTATGGATTGGTAACTCGATTGCTCCTTTTGGCGGATCAAATAGATGCTGCCTTGAAATATGTAGATCTAACTCTGAAGTCTGGCTATATGTTGTCGATGGAAGTATTCTCTGAATGTGTACAAAGCTGTGTTAAGAAAGGCAGGTTGGACACATTGGTGTTGATAATTGAGAGGTGCAAGGTATGCCATTAATATGTTCAGTCCTGATCCTTGAAGTTTTGCACTTGTATATGTGCATTTCTTGGTTCGTCTTTTCCATTTATGACTTTGTTCGTGCCAATGTTCTTAGGCAATGGATCAGAATAAAGCTCTTTGTCCACCGTGGAGTGTATGCAATTACATTGCTGAAGTTGCGATGCAAGATGACAATAGCAAATTAGCATTTTATGCATTGGAATTTATGGCGAAATGGATTGCTAGAGGCGAGATGGCAAGGCCTCCTGTTCATCTTTCCGTGGATGAAGGGCTGGTTTTATCGGCGCTTGGAACTGCTGGTAGAACATTTAGTTCTACTCTCCTAGATGCTTCTTGGGCAATCTTGCGACGGTCTTTACGGCAAAAGAATACCCCTAGTCCGGCATCATACCTTGGAAAGATATATGCCTTTGCCTCGCTGGGTAATTTACAGAGGGCCTTTAGTACGTTGCATGAGTTTGAGACTGCCTGTGGAAATCTTCAGGAGCAAGCTGAAGATCTTTTCTCACCATTTACCTCTCTAAATCCATTGGTGGTTGCATGCTCCAAAAATGGTTTTGAAACTTTGGACTCCGTGAGTATCACCTGAACATTTTTTTTCATGGTTATCAACAATCTCTTGTATTATTGCAGCTTGGTATATTGCTTTGGTCACTGTTGATGTAGATCCTCTACTTTTATTTCTTGTTTTTAAATATATTCCCCACAGGACCTATTTGAAGTTCTATAAGCAATCACGGCAGCTTGGCTGCTCGAAAATGTCATTGTAATGTCCATGTTAATGCTGTCATTTTGATCGTCATGTTATTTGTTTCTAGATGAGCTTTAGGTTTCTGGCTTGCTTGCAAGCTTCTGAAAACTAGGCTGGTCTAACAACTTTTCAAATGGGCGCTGAGAAGTTGGCAGTTCAATAGGTAGAACTTTTAGTTCATTAAATGTTGACGTCATCAATTAGTTCATATACTAATCTGCGTACCACGGAAGATGTGACCCACAAAAAATGAGAGAAGAATAAGTGTGACACGCTTATAGCGAAAGGCAATGTGTAGGTTAGTGGCTAGGAACTCTCTTTCAACTGGGGTCTGAGTTTTGACATTTATCCTCGTTATGGGCTTGGATTAAGTTTTTCGAATCTCAGATTTGAATTTGCAAAGAACTCATCCGTGTAATTAGATCAAACTCAATTCAGTTTGATTCTTGGCTGAACTGAGTCATATGATAAATCCAGACTGTTCTGCAAACCTATTCTTGGTCCTACGAGTCGAATAGTTTGGCCCAGTTTGGTTTTTAAAGCATTGCTGGCATAATTGTCATGGTATTTGAGAAGTTTTTGCCTACACAATTCACCCTTTTTACTGATTCACTTAGAAAAATTACGCAGGTGTACTTTCAACTGGAGAATTTGAGCCGGGGAGATCCTCCTTACAAATCTGTTGCTGCTCTCAATTGTGTAATCTTAGGTTGTGCCAATACATGGGATCTTGATCGTGCATACCAGACATTTGAGGCAATTGGTGGAACGTTTGGCTTGACCCCCGATATCCATTCATATAATGCACTTTTATATGCATTTGGGAAGCTAAAGAAGGTGCATAGTACTTGCTTTTCTCACTTGCCTATTCGAAGTTGAATGCAGATTCCCCTTTCAGTTGAACTAGGCCATTTCCCATTATCTTGCATGTTTCACATGGTAGGCGGTAGTGTGATTGTCAAATTAGTCCTTTTTGTGGTGTCATTTTAGTGGATACTTCACTATCAGCATTCATCTGTCACATAAACTAACTTGTGACATGGACTTTTATTGGGATTAAGAGCAGATGCATGTTAAGCCTGTATGTTATGCTTTGTCACTATACCGAATGTGAGTAAATGGAAGTTTCTCTGTGGCAGACATTTGAAGCGTCAAGGGTTTTTGAGCATTTAGTAAGTGTGGGGGTTAAACCAAATGCTATGTCATATGCTTTGCTCGTGGATGCACATCTGATAAACCGAGATCCAAAAGCTGCTCTCTCTGTGATTGATGAGATGGTAAAGATATCTATTGACCGAGCTTTGAGCTGGCCTGCTCCTGAGAAATATCTATTGCTTTGATGCCGATATTGATGTTTTCAGTTGTAAATGCTATGCCAGGTAGTTGCTGGATTCGTTCCCACAAAGGAGATGCTTAAAAAGGTCAGAAGACGATGTACGAGAGAGATGGACTATGAGAGCGATGACCAGGTGGATTCACTGGCAAGGAAGTTTAAAATACGGATGGGCAATGAAAATCGCAGAGACATGCTATTTAATCTTAATTACAGCACAGAGTATGCTTGAAAGGTAATGGTAGGGCTTTTGCCACTTCATGCTTCGTGGATCCTTTTACAGTCGCATAGTTGTGTTGATCCCCTGCATAGATTGGCTTAGGATTTGCTGGGCTGCGCCTTCTTGTCATTTCTCACCACAATTCATTTATGGCTATTCCCCGTTTCCTTTTATGCCTCACATGCCTAGTGCCTCAGTCATATGTCTTGTTCGTGATGTTGCTGGCTTAATTTCGAGTGCTCTCTTCATGTAGGTAGGCTGATTTTGGCTTCGAATCAAAGGCTCTGATCTTCCCCGGCTTCCCGTTGTTAGGCATAAACTGTACCGTAACCATTGATCTTTCGTTTTCTTTTGTATATTATTCAATTCCACCCTTTTTGAGTTTTGACAGAATTAATCTAGGATGTCTCTTTAGAGCCAGTAATTTTGTTTCGCTTTTTACATCCTCTTCTTTCTGTATGAGAACCTCGGAGGGACAGTGATGCAAATCTTGCGAGGTAATTGGTTGATGATGAATAAATATTGCACAAATTACTTCCCGTTTCACATCTGCTTTCCATAAATCGATCTGCCGATCTTCCATCTTGAGCTTGTTAGCTTGGTGGTAAAAAAAGAGAAGACTAGTTTGATTAAATACTATCGTACAGCATTGAATTGCATATTGGTCCATGGGCTACTTCTTGAGGTGGAGGAAGAGAATGCTCCATGAGGGAAGTGATTATTTGATTTCGATGCTTGACAGGAGGAGAAGATGTTTTTGCTACACTTGGTTCAGTGTAGTCCGCGGGATCTGAGGATACGCATCGACTGGATGGGTGTGCGAGAAAACTTCTCTGCGGGAGATTAGGATGGCCCTTTGCTTATATATCAAGAAGTAAAAGAGAGCTATATTCTTTGCAAATTTCCTTCCGGTAGGTGGAGAAAAGTGATCAGCGCTAATAATCCTCTATGAACCTCACTATAAGGGTTCTCCCATCTGTTGTGGAATGTTTCATAATTACTCGGAACTGAGGAGCTAAGTTTTGCAAGTCCGTTGGACTTGGATTGCTAGTAGTTTGGAGTTCTCTGCACACGAGGTGTGTCGGAACTAGGCAAACGCAGTATGAGTTGCTTACAATATGAAGTGAGCTCGCGATTTTTGTGGAATATGGATGAATCGTCAATCACCAAAGTAATCACCTTAGCGGCTTTTATTGTGATCTACATATTTACATATATCGTGATGAAACGCAGGAAAAGAAGATCAAAGTTTAATCCGAACCTCAAGTACGTGTCCCACCACGTTCACACACTCCCCCTCTCTTTCTCCGCGACGTGATTGTTTAACGTGGTGTCTTAAGTTTAATGGGCGGAGGCGTTTGGCGTTGCTGGGCATTGGAGCGACCGGGGCAGCAGCTCCAGCAGGACGGCAATGGCGGCCGGGACACGGGGGTTCATGTGCTCTATGCAGGGGTCTCTGTAGAAAGAAATTGAAGAAGGATACGGCCACTTTAAACAAGAAGACAAAGCATCGAACGAAATAGAGCGCGCGCTCTCTCTCTCTCTAAAAGTCTTAACAATGAACTGGAAGAATCTCATCTTCTCCTTCTCACCAAATATGCAAGCCACCCTCGCCAAACCCCCCAAACCTCCGTCCTCCTCCGTCCTCCTCCGCCTCCGCCCATTAACCTCCGCCTCCGCCTCCACCTCCTCCGTCGACCCCTCCCACCTCCTCCGCGTCTCCACCATCCTCTACCAGCAGCAGCACTCTCCCGATTCCCGCCTCCACGCCTCCCTCCGCTCCTCCCACTTCCGCCCCACCCCCGAGTTCTTCCTCCGCGTCTGCAGCAACTTCCCCCTCTCCTGGCGTCCCGTCCACCGCTTCTACCAGTTCACCCTCACCCTCCCCGACTTCCCCCACTCCTCCCTCACCCTCAACAAGCTCGCCGACGTCCTCGGCCGGTCCCGGAACGTCCCCCTCTTCTGGGAAGTCCTCCAGGACATGGCTCGGCGGCGTTTGGCCAACGAGAAGACGTTCAGGATCGCTCTGAAGACGCTGGCTCGGGTCAGGGAGCTGAAGAAGTGCGTGGGGTTCTTCCACTTGATGAATGAGAACGGTTGGGGTTACGGCGTGGGGACTCTGAATATGGCGGTGGAGTGTTTGTGCAGGGACACGCTAGTGGAGGAGGCTAAATTCGTGGTCTTTCAGTTGAAGGACGTGATTAGACCTGATGGGGTTACTTATGGGTGGTTGATCAGAGGGTTTTGCGACGTGGGTGACTTGGTCGAGGCCTCCAAAGTTTGGAACTTGATGGTGGATGAAGGGCTCGAGCCGGAGGTTTGGGCGTTCGAGGCGATGATGGAGAGATTCTTCAAGAGTAATCGGTATGACGAGGCGATGAAGCTCTTCGGGATAATGAGGATGAGGATGCTGGATCGGTTGGGTGTTTCCACCTACAGGCTTGTGGTCAGTTGGATGTGCAAGAGGGGCAGGGTGAGTGAAGCTTATATGGTGTTTGAAGAAATGCAAAAGAGAGGGATCGAGACAGATGCATCGACGGCGGGGTCACTCGTCTACGGGCTGTTGGTACGAGGCAGGGTGGGAGAGGCTTATAAGATTGTAGAAGGGATTGAGAGGCCGGACATTAACGTGTACCATGGATTGATCAAGGGGCTATTGAAACTGAAAAGGGCAAGCGAGGCGACCCATGTTTTCAGAGAGATGATAAGCAGAGGGTGCGAGCCCATAATGCACACGTACATCATGTTATTGCAAGGGCATTTGGGGAAGCGGGGGAGGAAAGGACCTGACACGCTTGTAAATTTCGACTCCATTTTCGTGGGGGGACTAGCGAAAGCGGGGAAGTCATTGGAAGCAACCAAGTACGTCGAGCGGACATTGAATAGAGGACTCGAGGTGCCTCGATTTGATTACAATAAGTTCTTGCATTACTATTCGAGTGAGGACGGCACACTCATGTTTGAAGAAGCGAGCAAGAGACTAAGAGAGGTGGGCATGATCGATTTGGCCGATATACTTGAGAGGTATGGCGAGAAAATGGCGACTCGAGAGAGGAGGAGAAACAGAGCAGCCGAATCATGAGAAGAGCTTTACGAGGCTTAGTATGTGGGAAGGTTCTTCTTTCACAGGATCTTCTCAATGAGCAGCTATAACTTGTAAAGAGGATATTCATTTTCAGAGCGTGTTGCGGGACGAGAGGGTTTCTGAATGTACCTATCAGATAGAGAAGAAGTCTGGACTAGACTTTCTGGCTGGACTAGTTTGCTTGCAATTGTAAAATTTTTTGCACGCATATGCCTGTACATGCACACCAGGGGATTGACAAACGGAAGAAGCACCTGAAGCCCTTTCTGTGCTTGATGGGGAATATCATGCAATCCATTAAAGGTAGAGATGTTTTCCCTATCAGTGACACGGGTTTTAGGATCTGTTAATGATCAAGAAATGAACCAGCACGAAACGCGACACGTCGCGTTAAAGGTAGAGATGTTTTCCCGACCTAGATGGAGGAGATGACAAGCATAAACATCATTGACGTAAACCCTTAAGCAAAAAACAAGCTGGACAGAACTCAAATGTTGGAGTGTCGGCATTGTCACCGTTTCCTTGGTTGGCTATTGATTGAGCGATTAAATTACTTGATCGCTAAATTACTGCGATCAAGTCGGAGATATTATCAGCCGGTTAAGAACTTGTATTGAGGGTTGCATGGTATTGCTTCCCAAACACACTTATAAGGGAGAATTTTCTCTCCAACCAAGTGTTGAAACTTCTTTGTATAGAGATCTTTTATGGAACCTCTCGATGATGAACGACGAACTTGCGCATAATAGCTTGAGAGGAAGAGGCAGGCAAAGCTGCAAAAAGTATTCAAGAAGATATAATGTGTATAAAAAGTAATCGATATAGACGAATCTAGTACCGCACATACTCAGAAGCTCTTTCACAAGTTTATACGTACCTCAACTAAATGGAGTTAGACCAGCCAAGATATTGGAAACAACCAATGCCATTCAAAGCTAATTCCATGCTAATTGTTCTGACATCTGGGCGTTGTAAAATATATTATCACTCTATTATCTAATTGTCTTCCGTTCTACTAAAACAAACCCCTTGCACCTGCATGTACTCAGTTGGAAGGTGCAGTCCAAGTAGGAGGAGGGCTGCTCGAGGTCACTGGAGGCATAGCACGGATGTTGATGTCGAGGGGTAGTAGTCGGTATTGGATGTCAAGCTCCTTGAAAATCTTGACCATCTCCTCCACCAGGAGGGCTCTCCTTGCCCATTTCTCGCCCATGTCCTGGTGGTTCATCCTGTGCGTCAACCAAACTGCTATTCTCAGCCTGTTCAAATCTTCGACATCCTTGAATATTATCATTGGTGCGGGGTACCAGTGGTCCTTCTTGTTCTCAATGTAACTGCATTTAAGATAGCGATATAAACCAACTCAGACATGATTCCATTACAAAAAAAAAAAGACTTACCAACAATTTTTTCCACATATGAGATCCGCCTTAACAGCAGTTTTCTGTTTTATGGGGTCACCAGTTGTAAGAATCGGTACATTGGCAGAGAAAAATCTTATAGTCTCGTGTTAGGACCATCTAGCCTGTGCATCTTTCGTACAATGCACATGCATCTCGCGAAAGATGCTCATTATTGACGAGCCCATGCATTAAACTTGCATCTTTCGTGTACTAAACCAATACTGCATTTAAGATATGAATTGTTTTACTACAATACGAACATATATGAGATTTGCCATAACAACAGTTTTCTGTTTTATGGGGTCACCAGTTGTGAGAATCAGTATATTGGCAGAGAAGAACTGTGTTCTTAAAGGCAATAATAAGTTTCGCGTTAGGACGAATTGCATTCTAAATAGCTGCATAGACCAAATAATTTTCACTTATGCATCATTTCTACATGGCCAGAAGGTTCAAACCAAGACAACATCCTCAATTGTTTTCAATGGACACTTTTCCTGTAAATTCCTCAAATCCTAACGCTCAATCATCTAGTCATTACGAAAGCCTGAAGTAGATAACTAAAGGGGCAAGTGGATTAGCTAATAATATAACTACTGACCTTGTTATTCTTTGTTTCATTGTGGCAATCTTCTCAGTTGGTGTAGATATGTGCACACAGAATTCAACTACATCTCCCATATCAGGACTTCGATAGAAGTTACTGATGGCCTTAGTAGCGAGAACACTGTTCGGAATTATTATCTTCTGGTTGTCATACCTCAGGAAAACAGTCGTTAAGATGTTCATCTCTTCCACCACCATCTGAAACACAACGCATCATGGTTTAGAAACATATATTGTGCAAAAATGTTGAATGCACATTGCTCTATTCGCTTGGGTACCTGGACCCCATCAACTTCACAACGATCGCCGACGTCAAATGGATGCATCACAAACAAGAAAATAATCGCTTCAAATGTCATCTTGCACGAGTTTCCAAATATGAATACCACAAGTAGCAATTGGGAGCTTATGAGAAGCAGAAACTTTTTCGTTGCAATTCCTAGTATAAGGAGCCAAACAATGGCTATTAGGATGCCAACTAGAATGTTCACCATCCGATGGAGTTTGTTCACAGCTGTCTTAGTATCATCCAGGGTCAAAGCTAGTGCTCTTCGTTCTCTGAAAGCATTAACCTGCATTTCATCCAAATGCAACCTCAGAGCTCAATTAGTGGACATTGCAACTATAGAAGTTCAACACATGTAGAAAGACCTTGTAATTACTTTATCGGGTAATTCCAATTAAAAAGGATTGCATTCATAAGCCTAGCGCAATCAATTGATTTCATTATGTCCACATTTTTTAAGAAGCACCAACTAGTTTTTGCTATTTGAGCTATAGAAAACGATCTCATTTTGCATCTAAATTAAAAGTAGGGAGTACCCTAATCTAAAAATATTAATTCAGTAAAAAGTTTTGTCCATGAGCACTCACAACTAGCAATAACAATTTCCCCTTTCAATCAAGTGCTAAAAGAGTCAAGACAACAACATTAGATGCTTTCTACATCTCTTACCACCCAGTTTTTTAAACAAGATTTGCTAATTTTGTGGCTCTCAGATGCTCCTTCAAATAGACTCATCGTCTTTACAACCTCATCTTCTGGCATAAACCGCATCAAGTCCTCTATATATATGTGCCTGACATAGAAGTAGCAAGTCAAAAGACCGATAAAAAATAAGACCAGTGATTGGAAGGTCATACAACTGATAGAGTTACAAAGAGAATATAGAAAATCGCATCAATGAATGCAGAATGGGAAGTTCAGAATGGTAGCAAAGCAGACTATTCAGCTCCTAGAATAATTTTGTAAGATGATGCTAAAATTGATAGATAAGATAAAATTTGGGACTTTTTCTTGAATAGTTTGGCCTACGTGCCATATAAAGGCTTAATATGGCCAGGACAATGATAGGTCCGTGCACAAGATCATCAGGATAGTGATAGAATATAACAACAAATTTAAAAGATCACAATGATGAGGCATACCTAGATCCTTGCTGAGCCACATTCTGGAAAATTTTCTTCGCCGCTGCTCTTGCCTCACTTTCGCTGTTTATTTGCTTCGAAGATTCATCATCGTGACCCGATATCTGCTCATCCAGTGTTGTGAGGTTCCCATACCGCACCAAATTCATCAGCCTCTTCATATTCCAGGCAGATACATTCTTTGGATTAAGTTTATGCAAATGATCGATTGTGATCCCCTCTTCCCCCTTATCCTTTCCTCTAGGACTCTTCTGCACTCTCCCGCTACCTATCACTCTCCCGCTACCTTTTGTTGGCAATACAGCTGCATTAAGGTCGGGAGGTATAATAGCACCCGCCTTCTGCAGGTTCTCAACTTCAACCGCAATCTTCTCCTCCTCTTCCTCTGCTTTCCTCATCTCGACTAAGGGCGGGCCTGAAAGCGTCTCGATCACATATTGATTAAACAGAGACTCCTGAATCCTATCAAAATAGGTGCTCACGTGAAAGGAAGATGCCAAGACCTTAACTATAAGAGTCTTCACAAGCCAAATCATTGTGCCAACCAAGAGACAAACCAAGACTTTCGTGACCAACTGGAGGTTCTTGCTATTGGTTTCTCTCTCAACCTTTTTATCAAACAGAAAGTGCCATGCTATTAAGACTAGCCCCAACCACAGACAATTCTGCACTGCTTTCCTCAACCCATAAACAAAATAAAGAACCCTTTTCCTCAGAACAAAATTCCTCTCAATAAAAAACACAATGATCCGAATCCCCCAACTAGAGACCAATCTCCCACATATCAACACCAAAATCATTACCTCCCACTTCCACAGCATGAGCTTCCACAGAGTCTTCTTCCTAAGATAAGGAATGGTGAGGCTACAGACAAGTGCACTTATGATCAAGATCAAACTTACCCACTCAAGAAGGACCACAAGGCCGAGCGTGCACTTCTTGTACTGCTCCGGCAAGTCCTCCCCCGCAAAAGGGTCGTCCTCGTCCTCGTCCCCACCGAGTTTGGGCGACAATCCTAATTTCGAAACCCGACCCGATTTCTTGTCCGTGTGATCAGGCGGATCCAAGAGCCTCGACTTGTTCTTTGCCGCCCCCGTCAGAAGCCGTGACTTTCTCTTGAACGAGCTGTTGCTATGAAACGAGGCGTTCGATGTGCACCTCAAGACTTGCCCATCTTCGCTCCCCTCCTCCTCCTGCCGCTGCTGATTCTCCACTGAAAACCTGGTGGGCTTGGCCTCGCTCGAGCCGGGCTCGCCGAAGGACACCTTGTTCCGGCTCCTCAATGGCGACTCTTCCAAAGGTGGCAGCGGCGTGAAGTCGTCGTCGTCGTCCTCTTGCTTGAGCTCTTGCATCTCCAGATCGATGTCGAGCGAGAAATCGCCGGAAGCCCGCTGCTTGTGCAGGAACTGACCGATCAGCCTCGACGGCGGATCTTCTTCCAACCCCTTCTTGCCGCTTCCCCGGCGGAAATCGAACTCGTCGCTGCTACCGACTCTGGACTCGGTACCGTTCGCGTTACCGCCGGCAACTTCCTCGTCCTCCCGGAAGTCGTAGCTCGAACCCCTCCAAATCTTTTCGTTCCCTCCTCCGTTCATCGTGCACGCGAACTTGTTCTCCTTAGTGGGGTTCGGCAATGCAAGTTCGCTACAGTGAGCAGATCACTGTGAGTTCTTCCTGTGCAGTGACGATGGCGATGGGAACGAAAGCGACAGGAAGGTGGTGGTCGGAACGCGAAAAGCAGTAACATGGGCGTGGTGTGAATGGGAGTCAAAAGAGGCAAGAGCGAGGTGGGGTGTACGAACGAGCGAATCCCAGAGATGAGATTTTTGCTTTTGCTTGATTGATGGGGGTCGGTACGATTTCGAGGATCGCGAGGAACGAGAGGAGGGACGCGTGTTCTTGGGTTGGTGTTAAAAATTGGATCTTCAGTTGAATTTGCGACAGAGAACATGTGGCGACGGAAACGGAATGAAAAGGACGCGACAGTCTTTGCTGGTTCACGAACCCTTTCGAAAATTAATGTTATTATAATTTGGTGCTTTTGTCAAAAAGGATTATACTTTTCATAGACTGTATTGATTTATACCCTTGTATGAACACTCCATTAAAAAGATTAAAAGTTAAAAATTAACTAAAATTGAATTAGGAATGAAGAAATTTTAACCTTGATGCCAAAAAAAAACTTGCACATTCTCGATATGACTGACATTTTTGCCTTGAGTTTTATTATCGCTTAGCTTCTTAGTTCTATTGATCAAAGTGCGAATATATTAGGAAAAAAGAGGAACCTGCACTATGCACGGAAAAATAGAACTTCATGAAAGCACGACGTAAATTATCATTCTCGTCTTTTCTTTTATAGGTTTTGGAATTTGTTAACATGTCGTGATTTATTGAGCTCGTTAATTATGCATTTTAGTTGGCATTTTTCGGTGAAGAAATAAATTTTCGTGCTCTTTGATTTCACAAAACGGGTTTTGAGTTGTCATGCAGTGCCAACATTAAATTTCAATATATTATCATCTCACATAACAAAAATATGTTTTGAGCATAAAAAGAAAAATTTCTTAATTCGAGTAAGTTTCCTAAAAAAAGTTTTCTTATTTTGGATTCAATTTTTGTCTATATATAAGAAGTGGATTTTTTTTTTGTGAAGTGCAACAAAGAGGAGTTTCTATTTGTGAATTACATCCCAAGAATTTGAAACTAATTAAATTTTGTGCTAAGATTTGTTAGATTGAGAGATTGTTTCGTAAGAAATTGTGGGGCTAAACACCGTGTGAGTTATTAGTTGTAACTGAGGGCTGGGTAACACTAAGGCTGCGTTTGGTCGTCCGGATTTCTAAACAGGATAGGACTGGATAGGATAGGATAAGAAATCCTGGGATTTCTTCATATCCTGTCCACTGTTTGGTGGACTACGGATTTAAAGTTGGATAGGATATTTTTTTATTTTTTATTTTTGCTATTCACGGGTCCGGAGGAGTCAGTGAAGGAAAAAAAAGCCGAGAAATTTTTTTGGTGAAAGCGCACAAGGTGTGGGGATGAAGATGACGGCAAGTGTAGCGTAGGGTTTCTGGAAAAATAGGCATTAGAAATCCTATCCGGGTCTATCCCACCCCCTCCCCCGGATTTTTTTATCCGGGTTATATCCGGTCTATATCCAACCTTATCCTATCTTGGACCACCACCAAACACAGGATAGGATAAAACATATCATATCCTGGCTTTTATCCGGTCGATCAAACGTAGCCTAAGAGTATTTGAATTACTCGAGTGTAATTGTGATCTCCGTTATATCGCTTGATTTATAGTGAAATTCGTTTTTGCTTTCACCGTGGACAAAGTTTACCTGATCGAACCACATAAATTTAGTGTCCGATTTATTTTCTTATTATTATACTGTAGTTTGGGTAAGACCGAGGTAAGCTTGGAAATGATGATGCAAGAAAACCTATTATTTAATGTTAGGTTCAAAATACAATCAAGAATGGCCATGCTTCACTTTTCCAAGTACCAATACGATACGAAATAAAAAGAATTAAATTTATAAAATTGTGAAAAACTCGAGTATAATTAACCTTGTCAAAAGCTTGTGAAGAGACCACATCATCCTTTTACATTGTGGAGTATTTTTTTTATATATAAATAAATTAGATCAAAATGCATGCGTAAATTAAAATTCCTGGAGAGGGCACACATACTTTATGGCCACTTCACGGTTAATCTCTTCACTATTCGAACTCATTTTTATTCTTCTTAATGATAAAGTATGCTTGGGTTAGGTGAAAAGCAATCAAGCATTGGAAACCAATACATGAATTTGTCTCTTGTTCTCCCTTTTGGCATGTGAAAAATAAAAAAGAATGAACATGATTATTCTTCTAAAAAAGTGAAGAAATAAAGGGTTTCTTGTAATTCAAGTGACGTGCATGGTACTGTAATTTTCCATGAAGAAGAAGATTGCATCGTCCCCAATTCGCCATCACAAGATTTAGAGGTATGGACCTAAAAGCACGTTCTAAAACTACTTCGCCTGAACTCTAGAACGTTAAATTCGAGGATATTTCTTAAGGAGAGGAAAGAAATTTTTTTTTCCTCAATTGGGAGCTATGCATACGGCAACGACACGTTAAACAAGAAATGTAATCCTATCAGCCCATCAAATATATACATTCGGATAGACGGGGCAATCCTAATCGGAAGCTCGCTTTTCTAATTTTGATGAGGAATTCTCGATAATCATCATGAAAGATCCAAGGTTAATCCCTGATTTTTACGACCACAGAATTTAGAGGTGAGTGGTCCTTAAATGTATTTAAATAGGTCGGAGATGATGCATATGATGTGACGGGGATAAGAGTGGGTTGGACACATGCTGTCTTTTGGTAGCAATAGGTCGTCGGTGATTGACTCGTGGCTTTGATCGCGCTGCTCTTCACAGGCAAAGCCTCCATCTGTTCTCCACATCGAAACCACAACCTTTTTTTTCCACCGCCCGGGTCATGATGACGATGCCTGTGGTTACTAATTTATTGAGAAAATTTCTAAATTCATTCCATAATCATCAATAAATTTCAAATATTTTAATTATATCAATTTAGTAATAAATCATTTGATAATTTACTCATTTAATTTTAAACCTATCGACGATTTGTCAATTTAGTTTTTCTGCCTAATTTTGGTCAGAATTCACTAACGTGGCGATCTAGTTAATATTGGACACCTTACGTGGCACAACTGGTACTGTTGTAGAGAATTTTTTTTTTCATTTCTTTTCCTTTTTATTTTATTTTATTTTTTTTGGGGTCTCGACCATGGCCGGCGATTGGCCACAAGCAAGCGTTGCGATGCCCTCACCTAGACCTGGTAAGGGCGTTGTGGCCCTTGTTCGATCTAGTGACGGCAACCCTTGTCTAAGAGAGGCCTTGTTGGTCATCGTTGCCTGTGGTCCGCAAGGCCTCACCTGTGGTTGGACACCGGCCATTGTCAAGATCGGCCATAGGCCAGAGAAGAAGAAAAGAGAAAATAAAATAAAAAGGAAAAAAAAGAAAATTTTTAGAAAATTAAAAAATTGGAAAAATTGTCCACGTAAGACGCTTAACGTCAATTAGACCACTACTCGGCAATTTCCTGTCAAAATTAGCCGGAATGACTAAATTGGCAATTCGTCAAAAGATTTAGAATTAAATCAGCAAATTATCAAAATGTTTAAGACTAAATTGACACAATTGAAAAAATTTTCATTAAATTGATAAATCGTCAAAAAATTTAGCATTAAATTGACACAACTAAAAGTTTTAGGATTGAATTGGCCGCCGTACAAAGGTTTAAGATTTTTTTGTATAATTTTTCCCAAATTTGTAAGCAATCTTATATGCCACAAAATCAACTGACCTTATCGTGGAGTTTTTTGCTCTGTTTCCCCATCACAAGAAGTGGAAACGTTTCTGATTCGATTCCTATCCGTGCTTCTCTCCGTTTGGCAATCAACTCTGGATTCTATACATTTCCTTGCTGCGAGAAGTTCAAACACTATAATTGGCGAAACTTCTCTCCAATTATTGCACGTTTGCAGTCGACATTTTGAGGGAAAACAAAAGGTGACATGACTAAACAATACCACACCCTACTTTAAAACCAAGCAACGAGAGAGGTTTGAAGGAAATCCATCACTGTCCATGGACCTGACTACACAAACTACTGCGTCTTACATACCGGGAGAACAACACAGATTCACAAGTAAACTCTGCAGTTTATTATGTTTCGGATTGCGCCATGGTGCGGCGCTCGCCGATTTCCCTAATCTAATGGCAGGTCGGGCCTGTAACTCGGGCTGCCGTCCGGCGGGAAGTCCTCGTCGAAGCAGTGGTATCTCTTCAGCAATTGGGTTCTAAAGCTCGAGGGAGGGCACGGCCGGCACACCAGCAAAGTGCATACTTCTCTCAGGAATATATGCCCGCTCCCCGGCGGCGCGACCGACGCGTCGGAGCTGGACAAATGAGCACGCGAGAAGGACAAGGCGCAGAGAGCCCCCACGAAGATCAGCTTCAAACACGTACATGTCCACAGCTTAGCCATTGACCTTTCTCTGGAGAAACCTTCTGGTACTTGCAATGGTGCCTCAGCAACTTTTCTTTGCTTAAGCAACCTTTTTAAATACCGAGGAAAGGGACTGTTTCTGTTTCCTGCAGAATTAAATGAGGGCATCAGGTTCATGCCTCGATGCTACGTCAGTTATCCTAACGTGCATTGAAGACGACTAATTAAAGATGTGATGCCGCGTTTGTAATCCTGGTGCATTGATGAGATACTTATGAAATACGAAATCTTCAGATTCAGAAATCGATTATAGTGAGAGGACCAACGGAAATGGTGAAAAAGTTGATGATTTGTCTGAATAACTCAAGCTCTAATAAGATGATCCAAATTTATTTATCTTCATTGATCGAGCTACCTATAACCTAAATATGTTGAAATGGCTCTAATATGGGCAACCTCAAATTTGAAGAGCCTAGCCATAATGGGTTCTAAGAGAAAAGACCCAAAATAAATGGGTCATTTCCAACCCATTTAATAAACAAATGGGTTCGTCTGTGTTAGCAGCTTCTCACGCTCTCTAGCTCTTCGTTCCTCTTTGCCAGATCAGAGTCTCTTCAATTACACGGACCGGTTTCGCCACCACCTATCTCCGGCTTTGCCCCCGCCGCCGATCTCCAGTGGCCCTCCGAGGAGTGGAACTTCTCCAAGGACAAGCACTACTTCGGCCTCGAGAACTTCGGCAACATTAGCGTCACTGAACTTCGGCAAGCTTAGCTCATTTTCCGGCTAAGGACAAAGAACACGCGT